TACATGCACGCTTTAGTCCCCAACACCCAACCAACAATGGTCATTTCAATCACCACATGATTAATCTTTGGCGGGAGAAAGGGGGAATCTTTGAGGCACGATAGTAAACCACACAAAAAGGCCTCATGAAAGTCGGCCAGGTGGAAAGATATATCGATAAAAGCAGATGTATATGCATCTTCTTATCCCCAACATTAGTTGGCCAACCACCTTTGCCCAAAGGTTTATGTTTCCACGGTTTTCCACATATATGCCCATGATTGCACTGTTCATCTACTTTGTTATTGTGTAGATGTATCGGTCATCCAGGCACCTGTTTTTTTTTCTAGCTCACGGATATATAAACGTCACTTGACTTGAACATATTCCTTCTAAACGAATTGTAACCCGCCACCAACTTGTATGGTCTTTGGCAAGCATTTCCATGGTACCCCTTGTCTCGAGTAGCCTTCTTGACCTCCATACTTCGATCGAGATATTGGGCATAAAATGCCATTCTTTAAAAAGGAAAAAAAAGGAGATCCTAGCGAGAAAAGGCGGGGAACAGATACCCAATAGGATAGGATCCTTGGGAGGAACTTTTGGTAATGGCCTTGGCATCGAGAGGTGGAAAACTATAAAACAAGGTTTACTTGTCTAGAGCTCAGTTTTTCTCTGCAGCAAGACCCTGTTTAGAGTTTTGGTTGAACTTCTTTAGATATCAATTTGGGGCGTGTGCGTGTGTGTGCCTATGTGTGTGTGTGTGTGTGTTGTAGAGAATAAATGGCATACAGACACATCACCATTCTAGTGTGTGGTCCACCTGGTCAACACCGAGCTTGTGCTATTCAACTCTTGGGGACTGACAACTCCTGGTCTGGCGGATCATTATCGGGCGTAGAATTTCTTTTCTTCCCAAAGTATATATAAAGCTGCCACGAAGATAGAGATGGCACCCACATTGCCGGCTAGGACATGAATTTTGACACGCGACAAAGACTATTCTTTCAGGAACAACAGCAAAAAAAGTGGATATGAGGAGTTGTTCTTACAGTTGGCACCTTGATCTCCATCAGTCGAGCTGGTATTGTGCCTGTTTGCTTCAATCAATGGGGGGATTGATTCTGATGGAGACTAAAAGCTTAATTGGGTGCATGCGGTCAGGGACCAGATGAAAACAAAAGAATTGACAACAAACAATAGATTCCTTTCCGCTCCTACCCACACAGACAAATGTAAGCTATTGTCACACTCGATTTATCATCCAATGATTTGTTCCATACTTCCTCCATATCAAAATATAAAACATTTTTGTAGTTAGATTAGCCTAACAAACATCTTATACTTTGGTATAGAGGTAGTATTACAAAGAGACGGATGGCTGTCGCATAAAGGCAAAATTTACACCTACACGCTTTGGTTTTTATTTGAAAAATGCTTGGCATCAACTGGCTCATCGCACGCGAGCATCCGCCGGCTCACTCATAGGACGTGTGTCCTGACCACACAGTTATTTTTTTGTTCTTTCTTTCGGTCAACGTGGCCCCTGCTCATTGCTCAGTGATGAGTTTATATGGCAAGGTCTCTATTGCAAAATCTTTGTTGTAGAAAAATAAATTTACAATGAAACCTCTATTGCAGAAAAAAAATTAACAAGGCCTCTGTTAAAAAATTCTTGCAAAAATTTGTGCAACATGATACGTGTTGCAGAATTTTTCTGCAATACAATCTGTGTTGCAATGATAAAGGTGACGCTCGGTCGCTCAATGCCTTAGATTCGAGGGCTCGCGGGGCGCGACACCGGCCTAGCACCTTTTTATTTAGAACAAATACACCCTTTAGTTCGTCACGTTGGTATTAAACAATGAATAAAAATGTATACACTTTACATCCAAGCTACAAAATTGAGCCATTCCAATGCATTGGATCGACGAACAGGCTACGTAACTACCAAAACAGCAGAAGAAGTAAAACAAAATGAAGCTCAAGAACTGTGTACAACAGATCTGAATAATTAATTATCAGCTGATAATAAATACACAACTAACTAAGACGTCATAACGAATTACTTAGCCTACCTAGCAAAACAAAAGGAAATGAAACATAATTAATTAAAATAAAGTAATTAAGGGAAGACCGTGGTGCTATCTTCACCACCAGCCGGCGCCGCCACCTCGCCGCACCTCCCGCACATGTTGTGTGCCGCCACTACAACCACCACCGTGGGTGTCGCCGGCGGCTGCACGGGCGCGGAAACGATGATGGGGGAACGGCAGGAGGGGCATGTGGCACAGGTCCGGAGCCAGGCATCGACGCATCCAACATGGAAGTGGTGGCCGCACCGTGGGAGCACCCGCAGGCCCTCCCCTTCCGTGAAGTCCGCCAGGCAGATCGCACACTCAGAGGACGAGCACGCCCCTGGCGTCGGAGAAGCGGCGGCGGCGAAGGAGACGGCGGGAAGCGCGTCGATGGCCTTCTTCTTGAGGCCCTTGGGCGGCGGAGGAGAGTGGTCGGAGGATGAGGCAGAGCGGCGTCGCCGGCATGCGCACCGGGAGACGAGGGCAAGGCCGAGGACGCAGACTAGCGCGCACAGGAGCGACGCCAGGATAACCACCATGTCCGAGTTCACCGCCATCACCGGCGCCGTCTGCTCCTGCTGCTGAGGTGGTGACGACGACGAAGACGATGTCTGGCCGGTGCCGGCTGACGCGAGGGCGGTCCGGTGCAGGAGGCTCGCCGGAGCGCGCATGGTGTCGCTTCTGCTGCTGGCTATGGTGCGCCGTATAGTCTGGACTGTGGACTCTGTATATTAGCTTAGCTTTGACTCTGGTCTCTGGCGTGCGGGTGTGCGATGCTCTGCTTGGGGTTTTATAGCGTGGAGGGGCCATGGAAGTGACCGTGGTGGTGGGAGGGGAGGGTCGGCCGGCGAACAGGTAACGCCGGGACCCACGGATTAGTGGCGGGCGCAAATGCCACTTTGGAGTGTTTCTTCCTGCATGCTTGGCTCCTTTTAGCTTACTACCAGTGCTACGCGGATTCGTGGAAATTAAGCAAATCATTGTTGTGACACTAGTGATCAGTGCTGGAGTTAGCAGCTAAGGCTCCGTTCGGAATCCCTCCGCTCCGTAACTCCGCCGCGGAGCGGAGCGGCATACAATACAAATACGGAGAGCGGCAAATTGGCTGCTCCGCGCGCTCCGCGGAGCGGTGGACTGCCGAACACAGCCTAAATATGTCAGCTTTCCTAGAGACCATCCATGCGTGCTTGTGTGTGTGAAAAGACGAGACACGCTTTACTTCTTTTGACTCGTGCTTTGCTCCCTAGAAGAAGAAGAAAACTGCTAGTGCCAACTCATTTCGTATTGTAAAGCGGATCGGCGAAAGAGATTTGAGACACCCCTTTTGACTAAAATTTGTATGCATAACATGACTACAAATAATGCATACTTCTATTGTAAGTTAGTTTATAATTTTAGGGACATAAAGGAATCTCCAAGGCTGACATTCAAACCAGACACCGCATCCGTCTATGGACCGATGGGGACCAGTCCACGGACACTAATGCGTGAGCCGACCATCCAAATCTAGCTGTAAACATCCGTTTCTATGTGTTTTAAAGCCCGCAAGCTCAAGATAACTGCATATCAAGTTGTAGTTTATCTCAAAATGTTCAAATGCGGTAGTAGTTCTAGTTTAAATATTACAATCGAACATTGTTTTCAAATTAAAGTAGTTTAAATTTGAATTCAACTAGCACATATGTACTAGTTTTCTTCTTTAACCGCCCAGAGATGCTCAATCACATCTTCCTTCAATTGCTCATGAGTTACTCGATGTCGAATTTGTTGATGCATTTGAACAATCTCATCAAGCATGGATTCCGCTCTCGAAGTTTCATAGGATCACCATGTTCTCAAAACAAGAGCTGAGGCAGCGTCATCACCCTCATCCTCCACGATCATGTATGATCACACAACATGTCATCATCTCCCACAAGGTTTCCGGGCCCATTGTTTAGTAGGTCCATGTACAATTGCAAAACGGGCATGGAGAACTCTGAATGCCTTCCCAACATTCTTTCTAGCCGCTTCTTGTTTTTGGGCAAATTAAGACCTTTTTTCTGACCAAGTGGCTCAAAGATAGTTTTGACAGAAGTAGCCCAAGGAGGAGATACCGTCAGCCAGATAGTAACCCATGTCGTATTCATGGCCAGTGACAATATAATTGCAAGAAGGAGCTTTCCCTTCAATTGGCCTGGCAAACAATGAAGTTAGTTGCAGCATATTGATGTCATTGTCAGACCTGGGCATTCCAAAGAAAGCATGCCAAATCCAGAAATCCTGTTATGCAACTGCTTCAAGAATGATGGTGGGAATTTTAACATGACCCTTCTATTGCCCTTGTAGAGCTATTGGGCAGTTCTTCCATCGCCAATGCATGTAGTCAATAGATCTGAGCAAACCTGGCCACCCTCTTGCTTCGGGCATTGCCAAGATCATGTCGGCGTTTGTGACAATTTGTTGCCTCAAGTACTCAGGTCCAATCACCGAGACCACGGCAGTAGCAAATCTGACCATGTTATCTCCACATGTGCTCTCAGACATCTATATGTATTCGTCGCACGAATCAGCGGCCCTATCATATGCAAAAGAGCATCTGCAATGCGTCGATGCACTTATTGTAACCAGATAACCAGACCATCAAGATGAAGTAGTAATCAAAGTATCAGATGCCATAGTAGAGACGATCAAAGACATTTTTCGCATCCGAAAGCGCCGGTGAAAATTGTCAGCGAATAGAGCATCGCAGGCAAAGTAATCATCCATCGGTGTCAAATGGTTGCATGCCCTCTTCTGACTGAGCACTCGATGACCCTTGATCGATCTTTTTGAATTGAGAACATGACGTTCTGCACGCTCCGCGTTTGCCAGGACTGCCTACATCATCGCCGTCTCATTCACGTAGTCCTCCTTGTCGGACGACACAATGTTGTGCTCATATGTGTACTCAATATTCGAATTCATTGCTTCAAAGAAGAAGGGTAAAAATAATTAGCACGGGCATTTCACCAAAGACTTGTTGGGCGTGGTGAGTACCATAGGGGCGGATGATACCTGCGCAGTGGACGGAGGAGAGGTGTGGACTGGCGGCAAAGGAAAAGTGGCATGGGAACCAGGGTGTAGCAGTAGAGGTCATGGAGCTTCGGGAAGTGTTTGGCAGACGGCCTGGGAGGTGTTGTGGTGGCATCGGCGATAGGGAAAACAGATGCAGAGAAAGAGGGAAGGATGGAGATACGAGGTCCGGGAGGGGTTTTGGGTGAGCCGGTGGTGTCGGAGACCTACGTGGCTGCTGTCCAGACCGCCGTAAAGCCACCTAGTTTGCTTTCAGTTTGCGGGAAGAAGGACGTCCAAATGGGTCAGTGGACGAATACAGGCCCGCGTTAGATCGCAAAACAAGTCCGAACCACACGATCTGAATGGTTGTGGGCAGTTCGAGGGTCCAATTTAGAGATGCCCTAAGTTGTGTACTGAATTATCAGAAAAGGCTCGTGTGTTTTCAGAATGATGCGTGGCCACTGGCTAAGAAGAAAGTGCGGTAGAATCTAGCTACAGCTATCTATGAATGCAGGTCTAAGTGGCATTGCGCTAGTAACTAAAACAAGTGCATGCATGTATGCACGACGAGACACACGCATGCTTTTACTTGTGCTTTTTGACACTAGTGTGCTAAGAATAAGTGGCAGCGCTCTAGTCGTAACTTAATAGAGACATGCTTTAAATCCTCTTTTCAAATGTGCTTTTGTTAAAAGTGAAAGTGCAATGCGAAAGAGCAATCAGCTCGTTTCACCACCCAAGAGCAAAGACCATGGGGAAAACGATCAAAGTGTGGTAGTGGTACTACCTACCTATCGCCTATATATTGAAGATCTTATTATGCTTGTCGAGGTAATCTGATTAAGATATACATGATCCATTCATAGCTAGTGCGACAACTCACCATCAGGGATTGTATATGCGAGTTAGCTTGTGGAAGGAAAAAGGGAAGAATATTCGGAAAAAAAAGGAGAAAAGGGAAAAAAAAGTGGGGTTGTTTAATCCCCTTTTACTTTATTTTACACAGGCTGTGTAGTATCTTAAGTAAAACACTTTGGACTTTCGCACATGAAAAACGCGCTAAATAAAATTGGTGAAATGCTTATTTCCATCTCAGAGAGTGTGTTTGTGTATATATATTCGATCGTAGACCCCAAGAATAACTGAGTGTAGCTCAGTGGTAGGGACATAGTCCTGTGTTCTAGGCCAGCCGATCCCCACCACAGGGAGCAGATATTTCAACGGTGTTTCTCACTCCTATAAAAATATGCCAGGGTCTTTTCCTATGTTTAGACCCCGGATATGAGCATGTATAGTTGCTGCTTTAAATTGAAACTTCTTTCTCTCGCTGGTCGCCAATAGGGAGCTAAGAAAATGGACAAGAACATGCAAGTTGCAAGACGATTTTGACCTAATTGGCCATCATTTTAGCTTGCATGGATGATACTAGCAGCTACTCTTAATTAATCTGTCTAGTAACTTAACAAGGTATATGGTGCAGGTCCCGGAAAGCAGCATCTATCTATCTGTGGGGAGTTGTCGTTTTGTAAGTGATCGATCGCCTGTTATCTGTTACTAGGTTGTCTCCCCGTATGTTCTTCATTGATTAATTAGTCAACTCCGCTGCTCTAGCCGGCCGGCCTGCATGCTACTCCGACCATGAGTACCTCTCATACATCAACTTTTTTTAGCTTGCGGCTGCATATTTGGACATGCGTGCATGTATGCCGCACGCGTGTGTGTGTGCGCGCGCATGCGCGCGTGCAGTACTGGAAATTGGATTATTTTGAGTCAAACAAGTGTGAAACACCTACACAATCCATGCACCTCATTTAGGGTTTGTTCCGTTTCGCAGCTGTTAGCGAGATTGGTAGGGAATTTAGCTCAATCGAACATGCTCGTAGTTCCAAAACCCCAATCCCAGCAGATTCTTACCAACCCGAACATGTCCTTAGTTAATTTCAACATTCCAATGTTCATAAGATTATTCACTTGACCGTGATCTGCTGCACTTGCATGCACCAAGCAAACATACGTCCATGCCCAAGTCCCAAAAACCCAAAACCATCTCCTTTAACACTAGCTAGCCGTACATTCCAATTACCAGCGAGCCGATGAATCTTTGGCCGTAGAAAAGGTGAATCTTTGAGACTAGATGGTACACATAAAGGCCATCCATCCATCATGAAAGCCCGCCAAAATGCAGAGATATTTAGACACGGGATGCAAAGCATATATACTATCTTCTACTTATGAACTTATCCCAAACGTTAGCTGGTCAGCGACCTTTGCCAAAAGGTTCACATTTTCATGATTCTCTCAAATATATGCCCATCATGCCACTGTACAGTTCGGCAGTTCCTATAGGGACATGCCAATCCTAATGGAAGCACCTGGTTTTAGAAAGATGATTCCTTGTTTCGCCGGTTCTCCTCGTCTTTGATGGCTTTTCTGACACCGAGAGGTGGAAAACCATAGGTCAGCAAGTTTCATTGTGTCAACATCTTGATGGTCTTGCAAAAAATAAAGTAGCATTGACTTCCCAACCTCCAACGGCTGCAAAATCAACCGTGATTTAGCAAAAATATCGCGTGAACTGTAATGCAAGTATTATAGGTGAACCCACTAGTTATCAGCTAGAGAAATTTTTGTATGTTTTCTATCCCTCCACAGAAATGCAATTTTGTTGTTGAAAAAGGGGTAAACTCTGACCTCTAAATCATCATGATGCACACAACCATCTTTGTTAAAAGAAAAGGATAAAGTTCAACAAGTACGCAATAGCAATTAAAATGAGAAAACAGAAAAATGACCACAAAATGTCGTATTAAGATCACATGACTTAACCACATAATCTATTAGTGACATGCCAGCCAAACTGGTTGAATAACGATTGTGAAACCGTCTCCATACGGTTGCACCCATAGGCCATGAGCTCCCAGTGTCCCCGTTTTGAGGTGATGATCACATACGGATCGATGTGTTGGCCTTGCAGATAAGCTGCACAAAGTTAATAGAGAAAGACCCACTAAAAACATAGTCATTCCAGCAATTCCAATTTCCCCCAAGTAAGGCACAAACCCCTATACGGATATAACCCTTAAGGTTTTTGTTGATACCAACAAACCAGATTCCAAATAAATTTGGGATATTTGTTGGGGCTGACATATTACATGCAACAAGAGTCGCACGCCAAATCAAAGCTGTGAAAAGGTGGAAATAGAGAAATGTTAAATTATTTCATCTTGAACACAAAACAACACTTTATACATCTCTTATGGTTTCTTTTAGCCAAATAATATTTGGTGAGGATCACTTCGTCTGTACAAATCACATAAAATTTTATCTCTAAAGGAACTTTAATTTTCCAAATATTCTTTCTCTGGAACATCGGCCACATATTTACAAGATCTGCATACATAGTCCTTTGTACAAATCACATAAAATTTTATCTCTAAAGGAACTTTATTTTTCGAATATTTTTTCTGCGAAAAGTCGGCCCCATATTTATAAGATTTGCATACATAGACTTAACAACAAACACGTTGCTGGTCTTAACTCTCCACCAAAACATTCGGCACGTGAGCTAAGTTGACCAACATCATCATACAAATTAAAGGAGCCAGGCATCAATTTATCACCAATTATGGCCCTCCTGAATTGGATGTCCATAGGTGTCGATCCAAAAACATATTGAATTGTACCATCTCCTTTAACACTATATTGTAAATTGAAGGGTACATAGTCGCAAGCGGATTTTCACCTAGCCAGGTATCTCCCAGGAACTCATCGATTGGCCATCACCAACTTCATCAAGCCCTTCCAAAACAGAGAATCGGTTGGTTTGGCATCCACTTCGGGAAGGTTTCCAAAACAGATATATTCTTGCAATATAAGTGTTTATTACGGAGGAGCTCTTGCGAGACACCCTTCCCCATTTTGTAGCTTGAATAGCTATTTTCTATGCAAGCACTTATTTTAATTTTGATATTTTTGATGTTTCCGATGCATATCCATCCTAGGTCCTTTGGCCTACACAAGATATATGATTTAGCCAGTTGATACTTCCATTTGTGCTCATCATACATTTCTAGAAGAAGAAAAATATCATGTTTTTAATCGCTATTAATAGTTGATAAGATCCTAAGTTTCTGTAGTTATCATGGCACTTGTTTGCTCCTGATCAGCTAAATGAACCTTATTACCGTGCTGATGAATTGTCTTCTCACGTAAACTCCACATATGTTAATCGAGCCGCTATCATGTTGTGCTTGCGAAATAATTTTTCCATAGACTAAAATCTTCAGTGGATGGGCCCGAGAGGAGCACCCTAATCAAATCCCAAAAGGATGTAAATACCCTCCAATTTATGTTCATCAAGACCAAATTAATCATGAAGATCAAGAACAAAGAATCTGAAGTGCTAAAAAGCCATGATGTATTTTCACCAAGTTTTTCTTTATCTACATTTGTACACCATCTAGCTACACAATATTACTCTCTTAAACAACACTTCATTGTACTATTTTATTTATCATGTATGTCACCAAGTCATGAAATTGACCAAATGATCTGTATTACCTACTATATTATTCTTGCTTCACTTACCAAAACCTGATAAACTATCAATAACAAATATGAGCAAAAACATATTGCTAACGACGGGCTTAAGCTCGGGCGCGGCGTGCTGCCGCACCTCCGCCTGCTAGTATTCTAAAGGCCGCCAGGCCCATGTGGTAGGGGCGGGGTCTCAATGCATGCATGCCACTATAGGATGCTTCCTCATGCAGGTGTGTCATGTTTTTCTACATGGAAGGCAATAGTACAATATGGTGAGTCGTGATGTTGTAGGGAGTATTACAACGGGTTGTTACTAAACTTCTAATTGGAGACCAACCACAACCATAGTATGTTTGGAAAGATGAGGCTCTCTTAAGTTAATCCATGATTTTGATTTGTCTTACTGTAAAGTGAATCTATGAAAGAGGTGCTTCGTCGGGAAGCTGAATTTGCAGGTAATCTTGATGAAATTTGCCAAGTTGCACATTTGTTTACCATTCTTAGAAGTTACCGATGCACAAAACAAATCATCAGAAACATAAGGGATGGACAAAAGTTTGATAAGAAAAGGATGCGTCGAAGCAGTGGCATGCGCTGCTGCAGTTCATGCCACTTGGGGATATTTTGCTTGCACCCGTGACAAGTTAACTATGCTTATTAATTAGTGTTGCTCTGCCTAGAAAAGTACACGGTATAATCAAGCTTGTCACCACAAAAAAGGAAACCATACTATAGTGACGATACTATATGAGGAGTAAGTCAAGTAGCAGCCAAAACCAGTGCATGTGTGGAAGATTAGAGACAGACACACTTGTAATCTCCCTTTAATTTGTGCTTTTTGCAAAAGTGAAAGTGATTAGCCGAGAGCTACCTAGCTCGTCGTTTCACCACCAAATTAAAGACCACAATCAAGGGAGGAAATGTTCAAAGTGTGTGTACCTACCACCTAACGCTCAGTTATGCGCGCTGAACTGAGGTAGTCTTCATATCACTAATATATATAATAAGATACTATACATGATTCATTCCATACGGGGTTAGTGCGGCTCACACTGCCTATTTAGCCAGGATTACATATATCTTACTGCATTGGGAGTTGAAGAAAATGAGCTCGCTAGAAAGTAAATGTAGTGTCATTACATATTTTACCATCCCCAACTTTTCTTATTCCATAAGGAAAGACATAAACATCGTAATGAATGAAAACACTTTGCTTATCATATTATCCCACTAATTAATTAATTTCTTGCACAAAGAAAGCGCTTAATTTTGCCCAATTTCATGCTTAGTGATGGATGTATGGGTGTCTATTCCATCACAAAGCTATGTAGCTAGTGTGTGTGCATGTAGTTAGGAGGTAAAGTATACAGGAATGCTCCCTAAAGATGAGTGGCTGAGTTAAGTATGTAAACCTATTCTTGGTGTCCTTGCCGGTCGATGGACTACTTTTCATTCAATCTTTCCGGCACCGGTGTCCTTGCCGATCGATGGACTACTTTTCATTCAATCTTTCCGGCACCGGTTTCCATTTTCGATGGGGAATTGATTCAGATGGAGACTAAAAACTTAATTTGTTGCATGTTGCAATGATTAGGTTAAAACAAAACAAATTGATACCAACAATATATTGCTGCCACTCACACAGAACATATTAAAAGCTATTGTCGCACTCTATTTATGCCCAATAATTTGTTCAAGCATAATTACAAAGAAGAGATTTGATGTCGCAGAAAGGAAAACTATATGTAGTTCACACTTTAGTTCACCTTATGTGGTTGTATCGTATATTATGCACTTTACAACAAAGCTACTAAACTAGCTGGGTCGACATACAACGACTCATTTACCAAACAAAGTAGAGGAAGTTGAAGAAAATGAAGCACAAGAACAATACTGCTACTACTCTACTTAACTAAGTACAACTCATGTAATTAATTACTAGCTGACGGTAAATACTCGACTAACTAAGAAAAATTCAATTAATTCCATAGCCTAACTAGCAAACCGGTGGAAAAGAGAACAAAAGAGGAATAAGATAAACTGATTAAGGCAAGAACGTGCTATCTCCACCACCAGCCAGGGCGGCCGCCTTGCCGCACCTCCCGCACCTGTTGTTCCCTGCCACTACGACCACTAGCGTAGGTGCAGGGGCTGGAGCAGCAGCGATGGAGGCGCGGCAAGAGGGGCAGGTGGCGCAGGTCCGGAGCCAAGCGTGGATGCAGAGAACATGGAAGGTGTGGCCGCAGCGCGGGAGAACACGCACGACCTCCCCCTCCGCGAACTCAGCCAGGCATATCGCACACTCTGTTGCTGCCGGCTGCAGTGAAGCGGCTGCGGCGAAGGAGATGCTGGGGAGCGCGTCGATGGCCTTCTTCTTGAGGCCCTTCGGGAATGGGTTGGAGGAGGAACTGGGGCTGGAGTGTCGGCGTCGGCATGCGCACCGGGAGGCGAGAGCGAGTCCAAGGACGCAAACGAGCGCACACAGCATGGACGGCAAGATGACCACCATGTCTGAGTCCGCCGCCTGCTCTGGCGGTTGCTGTGGTAAGGCAGGCGAGGACGCCGACGTCCCTCCCGTGCCGGAGGGGGCGAGGGTGGCCGCTAGGTTTTTTTATAGATGTGTTGGTCGATGTGTTGGACGGAGGTCGGAGTTCAGACGGTGGTAGCGGAAGGACCAGTGGGCCCCTGGACAGGTAACCGGGCCCATGTGGTAGTGGCGGTTACGGGTCCATGCATGTCAGTCCAGGATATTTCTCCATGCACGCGTGGCAACTTCGTTTGTAATATTATCCGTTTGATTTGGTACATGGAAGGATATTTGTCCATGCCAATCCAGGATCTAGGGACACTGTTGTACTGAGTGGTAGTGATCAGTGGCGAAAATAGTACTCCCTCCGTCCGGAAATACTTGTCCGAGAAATGAATGTATATAGATGTATTTTAATATTAGATACATTCATTTATGTCCATTTCTTCGATATGTATTTCCGGACGGAGAGAGTAAATAAAAGTCTAATTATAGACCAACCACTGAACCACAGTATGTGTGAATAGATGAAACACGCTTTACCACTTTTAGATGGTGCTACGCTCCAAAAAAGAACTAAATTGTGGTGCTAAGAGCATCGCCAAGCGGGAACATTAAATCCTTTCCATATATCTGCATGGACAACCCCGGCAAGTGCCGGGACACGAGAGAGGAAAAAAGCTATCCAGCCAGACTCCCAAATCGTCTTTATATGTTCAGGATGTCTGCGCATATGTGAGGAGGAAATGAGGGTGTTCGGACAGGTCACCATGTTGAATTCAGACCACTCTTCTTCTTCTTTTTTTCTCTCCTTTTTGTTTCTCCATCCCCACCAATTATATGTTTGTGTCTGGACAATTCGAGGGATGCAACTCCATCAACAGACAAATGAGGGTTCAATGTGTACATGCCAAACGTTGTCCGGTTGTCTCTGCAGACATGTAAGGAGTCAGATTAGGCAAGTCCGATTGCCGATGCTCTGTGTACTTTGCTTATTTGGAAGTGAAGCGGAAAAAATAGGTAGATTCCAGGCCCGTTTTTGACAAAAATCATGTGTTGATTATTTTCAATTAATTATTATTCTCCTTTTCTTTTTTACAGCGGTGAAGGGTGCCATTACACGCCTACATGCATGGAACTTCAAGGATTTGTTCGATTTAGTAAGGATTATGTGTGGATTCAGTGGGGGTTGGCAGGGAACTTAGCACGATGCTCTGCTAATCCCCTTTCTTTAGTAGGCAAGGGCATATGTTAAAATTGTCCAGCTCTTATTAAATCATCCTTACAAAAATAGAAAGTAACACATATATTTCTGGTTGTATTAGTGTCGTCTTCTTTCCACTCTCACCGGCGGCGTATCATGAGAAAAGCTTGGGAACAACCTTGAAGCCAGGATAACATTGTTCATGCAGGCTCGAGGAAGTCGCCGTTGCGAGCCAGAAGATGTCGTCAACAATAAACTGGGGGTTTGATCAAAGTGGGGGTGGTTGGACAACCATCCTAGATATGTCTAGATAGAACCAGGGAGGCCTAACCTCGCTAGCTTCCCGACAAAACCGAAGTTGGTTGTGCTTCAAGAGGAAGCCAGAAGTCAGAAGGCCTATGTTGGTTTGGTATACTCTACGAAGTGATGGTACTTGTACGAGAGGAGTGAGTGGCATGGCTCTAATAGCTAAACGAGTGCATGAATGCATTCAAGATAACAGACACACTTTAACTGAGGCTACTGCACGAGGAGGAAGAAGCCAAGTGGCAGATAGTGCTAGGTATCCAGTAACTGGACCAGGCGCATGTATGTGGAAGATCATGCTTTTGTGAAAAGTTAATACGAAAGAGCTGTGGAGCTCGACGGCTTCATCCACTTGAGCAAAACAACGCATGGGGAAAATGATACAAAGTTTGAGCACACACCTAGCTATCGCCTATCGGCCGGAGATCCATATATATCATGCGCATTGAGGTAATCTTAATAGTTTATCACTAATTAAGATATACATGCCTGATCTACCCATCCATTCATAGTTAGTGCAATGACTCGCTGTCAAGAACTATATATCATCGATTTAGCTTACATGGCAAAGAAAAGGGAAAAGATAAAGGGATAGAAAGTACCGTCTTTCAACACCAACCGCTTGCTTCATAGAAATTAGATGCTTTGCTTGTCTGAATTTTACCCAAGTGGGTTTCTCTTACTGCCCCAGGGCTTGTAATAAAGTAGCTGATGCTTTAGCGTCGTTTGGTGTAGATATGGGTCTTGAATCCCCAGCCGTATGGCCAGATCAAGCTCCTGACTTTGTGCACGGATAACGGATTTGTTGCCAGTGACATCGCTGAGCTGTTTGGTTAATGGAAACAATGTTTTTCGTCTAAAAAAAAGCCGCTTGCTTTGCGGGATGGGAGAGATCTGATATCTTAAAGAAAAAACTTGACTAATTATTCCCAGCTCCCACAAGAAAAACAAATTAACTAATTTGCAGAATTGCTTTGTGGTACACATATGCATAGTTGACCACTAGGATTGGTGAGTAAAGTTACCCTGATTGGTGAGTAAAGTTACACATATGCATATTATCCTTGATAGTTGTGTGGAAAAAGTAAATGCAAATAACCATGACAAAGATGGATGTTTCACCAACGTTGGGTATGCAAATTTGATAAGGAATTCTTTGAGCTCTTTGACTGCACCAAGAAAAAATACGAGCGCAGGCAATTTCGTTATAATAGAAATGTACTAAAAAAGATTACATTTGTTGGAAGACTTTGAATCAAAACGCATCCAGATCAATGCTAAGTGGCCGCGTTAGTAGGAAGTAATTAGAGACCTGCTTCAATCTAATTTTCTTGGTGCAGTACCAAAGTGGAAGTGAAATGCAATAGAGTTATCGAGCTCGTTTCAACTCCATGTACCCACCTAGGTATAGCCTACTGGAGATCTTATTATGCGTGTTGAGGTAATCTAAATATTGTTCACTAAGATATACATGATCTATCCAGAATTAGTGCGACTGACTCACTATGGAGGATTACATATCTACCCATCTAGAGCATTGTTTAATCCTTCTTGTTAACTTTTTTCGGCTGGTCACCGTTTTCGGCGTTAGACAACAAACAGAAGAAGATGGAGGGAGAGGACCTTGTTTACTCAAATGGCCATTGATGATACTAGTAGCTTGGCCTAATTAATCAGTCGATCAACTTAACAATGTAGATATTGTGCAGGTTATGGAAAGCTTCTATCTCTCTATCTATCTCTGCGGCAACTGGTCATCTATAATCTATAATACTATAATAGTTCATCCCCACTAACCTATTTAACTAAGCATGCAGCCTATCCACATCAGCAACCATTCTTTTATGGACACATCAGCACTAACCCTCCATTTGCTAATCCTTTTGATTTTGCATGCATGCCATTTTTATTCTGCACTCATAATCCTTCAAGCCACCATAATTAAAATCCTGTAGTCATTTTTGATTAGCCACGGCCCACGGGGTACTGGGGTATCCCAATCATAAAACCGCACAAGGGGCCGCATGTGGCCATTGGGTTCACCTCTTAATTCCCTGTCTCCTCTCCTCTCCCGATCCATCCATCCATATCTCTCCCATCTTTCTCTCGGCTCAAGCCCTCGACTACATCACGGTGCACCGCGCCTCTGCCCCCACCTCCTTCTGCCGCCCGCCCGCGCCTTGCCGCTAGGTTAGGTCACCCACGAACTACCGACGCACCACGCCGCGCCATCGACCTACGAATCTACGATCGTGGAGAAGTTGCAGATCATGGGAGAGAGGCCACGCTCTGCCTAGAGATGTCATCTGTGGTGCCATCTTCTTGCATCGCCCGTGTGGAAATTGGTAGGTGGCCGATTTGGCCTTTCTTTTTGCTCCCGTGGATTCAAAATTAAGCTCACCTTCTATCCTATTTCTGTTAGTATTTTTTGAATTGTCCTATTTCTATTAGTGAGTTTCGCGATTGACATCTTTGCTGATTCGCTTGGTACAAATCAACCAACAACAGATTGGTCGCCAGAGGCGGAGCTACCTCAAGTTACCGGGATGCACAGGCATTATAGGGTCGGAAGAAAATCTTAGTACGGGTTACCATCTCTATAGTGTGTGCAGAAGGTAGTAACAATGACAGTGCATCAGGTGTAAAATTGCAAGAGAAAAACACAACCTCGTAAGTTGTGATAGTGGACAGCAGGTCTGATCGCTGGTGGGCAAGGCAGGTCTCGGCTCTGTACGACTGAAGGCTTGCTAGGCTAATTTGAGAATGAGGGTCACGGCGCGGCAGAACTGGATCCCTGTCAGGCTATAATTGGTACAAGATTGGCACGTTCGTAACCACAAAATTCGTTTGATTTCTCACAAAGTGGCACATGTTTGCGTGGATGCTTCAGCTCTCTATAACCTAGGTGACAGCAAGGCATCACATGGCCAAAGCACGGACGCTGCAGCCTGCACTCAATCCTACAGCGGTCGAGCATCCGTGCAGCGCCGACCTGGTAAGCTCCACCAGCAATCCTTGTCAAAAGACATCACAAAGAACACACCCTAATCATATAAATGATTAGTTTAGAAGTTAGTTTTTCCGAAGGTGTTTATATTCATACATTTTTTCCTACTTCCCTTCACAAACTTTTCGTGAAGTGGAGAATCCAGTTTATTTAATATTTTAGTGGAAGATTTATTTATTTAGTCTCTGCCAAATACAGGTACATCGGTTTTTTTTTGCGGGGAAATACAGGTACATCGTTGATCACAAATGGACACATATCTTCCCAAACGAAAAGCAACATCACAAGAAGTCCAACCTCGCACTTTTGAATTTCCGTAACCATCGAGAAGAAAATAGCAGAAGGTTTATTCCCAGGTTATATTTATTATTTTCACTTCATAATTTGATGTCACATCTG